TCTCACACATTTTTAGATACTTTACTGTCCAATGTGAACTTTTGTGGTGGTGTACATCATAATTGGCTAAGAGGCTGTAATATGGCCAATGCAGTTCCTTTAACATTACTCAGTAGAGGTAGAATAGCAAATGAGGTGAACAGGGCTGAGCAATGTATTATTATATTATGTTAAAATATGGGCATTTTATGAACTTATAAAATTTGTTCAGTATGTCCTCTTTTAGCTATACATGTATGAAAGAAATAGTCTCTCAGCATTTCCAACATTTATTCATATTTTCTTAGAGGCAAATATAGGGTTGACATTCATTAACAGTTTGTAAATTTTTTCAAAGCCAAACATCTGCTTGGCATCCAATGATTTTCACAAACTTTTTTCTTTAAAAAAAAGTCTGTTGAGCATTTATTGGCTTCTTCTGTACTTTATGACTACCCTTTAAGTAGAACATTTATTTAGAGAAATCCTTCAAGTTTAAGACAATCCCAGAAGATTCAAAAAGTAGATTCATGAAGTAAATAAATTCTTTATGTAATGTACTCATGCTATGACAAAGTGTGCAGAGTGTCCCTTTAGACCTTTTCTTGGAGGGCCCTTGATCGGAATAAGGTGAAAGGTTTTGCCTGGAATGCCACTCTCAAGTGATGACATCCACTGAGGTCAATTTTTTTTTTTTTTTTTCTGTGCTATGGGGAAATCACCTAAAAGGGGGTTAAACTTTGATTAGAGATGTTACAAGTAGGGAAAAATGCTTTCTTCAATTTAACTTCTGCTTTTCAGAAGACATGAGTACATAAATTATGTAGCAGAATGGTGATTACTAGAAAATCTAAAAGCTGGAGGCACTAGGCCAATTTTCAACCAACTGTCACAGAATATAAGTTTCAATATATGTTTAAACTAAACTGACAACCACAGAAAAAATGTAAAATTCTTTTAAAGGCTGGGTTATGTGAACTGACAAGGATCTCAGAAACCACATGCTATTTAACACACAGCAGTACTTTCCTGCAACGTTCCCTCTCTCTTCTGGAGGGAATATTAAAAGAGGTGGAACAGACACTTCCCAAATTAAGTTAATCCAAGCAGTAGACATTCTCCTCCCAGAAAACAGTGGCCAACAGAAGTACAGTTCACCCCCAAAAATGAAAGGGCCGGGAGAGGTTCTTTGGTCTAGGAGTTTTCAAGTTGGAAGGAGATGACCCAGGAGGGCTGTGTGTGCATGGGCTTCCCACCTTTCTATGTCAGAGAAGCTCCACTCTTGGCTTTAGATATTAGGCGCCCTGGAGGATTTGAATCGCTGTTATATGTTAAGCTCCACATTTTACAGGTCACAAAACCAAGGCCAGAGAGATACTATTAGGTATCTGAAATGCCAGGTAGGTAGCATTAGAATGAGAATTTTGTGAATTCCTAGCTAAAACACCATTCTACCAATAATACAAGCTGTAGTACTTTAGGACATAAAATATTGGTAACTGACATGAGGAATTATTTTCTGGTACAGCTACTTTGCAGAATAGCTTTAGTGGGATTAGCTGTACACAGAGATCTCTATGAGTCTTAGAGCAAGTTTTCCCACCCCATTACTTGTCCAAGGAGTCCAGGGAGTCTGAAACCCCTAAAACGATGCATTCAATTTTACATGTTTGTATGTATATATTTTTGGAAGGGTCCATAGCTTTCTGTTCTTCAGAAGTATCTGTGATCACACCAAACGACAGAAATCAGTGTACCTGAGCAAGAGAATAGAAAGAAATACCACAAAAGAATAGTTTATGTTTATAACCAGGAAAACTGATCAGAAACTGCCTTAATACTAAATGCATGTTTCCTATTAAATTACTCAGATTACACAGGTAAATGTGCACAGAGGTAAAAACAAAAGCTGCATGGTATTCATGAAAATACAGTACTTGGTAGACTGATAAAAGCGTATTTCATTTTACTTCTTAAGTTTTATATACTTAAATTATTTGAAGTATGACATGCAACCTTCCCTTTGTAAACCAAAACCAGGACTCCAAAGCCCTGAATAATTTGGAAGCAAGGGGATTATTTCTGTTTCTGAATGTTCCCTTCAGAAAATGGTGGTAAGACGTAATGACCACTGACGAAGAACAACTGTTTCTTTCAATTCAATTACAGACCCTTCAGGGAAAGCCACTCATTTTTTATAACTGTGTCACTAAGGCAAACACTAAAAACTGCCTTCTGCCCTTTATGCTGATAGTATCAGGGAAGAAAGTGGCTGATGTAATCCTAAAGATGGAACTAATATCGAGGGCCTCATTATTCATTACAGGAAGGCTTTCCCTCTACTTTCACTCCAGCGACGGCTGAAGAGAGCTCTGCAGAGGAAAGGCAGACTCTGAATTGTCTTCCTGTGTGGACTGACAAGAAATAGGTTGGAAAGTAGTCTGAGGGGAAAACCCATAAAGCTAGAATAAACATAAATGAATTTGGGAAACAATACTGTACTGTATTTTGAAATAATGTTCAGTATTTATTGGGAGAATCTCTTATAATGGAGTAAAATAGAATTTCCTGAGGCTGGGAGACTAATCATTTAAAAAACCAGGAGTGACACTTGGACTTAATTGTAAAGAATGATCTACAGAATTGCCCACCTATGCCTCACCAGTGATTGAAGCATTATCATGGAAATTACAGCTTGAGGCCAGTAAGCTAAAAGATATGAAGATGGTCTGTGCCAATAGTTTAAATGCCAAGAGGTACCAGGCCGAGAAGGTGCAGAGACATAAACCAGGCAGTGGCACTGATATAATTATGAGCTTAGATGAATTCTCAAAGCCAGATAGGAAGTTGAACCACAGTCCTTATGGGAAAAGAGAATGTATGAAGGTAATTAGAAGAAAAAAGCTAAAAAAAGATATTTTTCTTAAAAAACAAAACAAAACAAAACCAAAACACAACCTAAAACTCTACATAGAACTCAGTGTCTGCACAGAGACCTTAATGGTCCTCAAACATGCATAAAACAGATTGGAGGGAGGAAGGGGCCACACACATCTTTATAAGCTCAGTTTCAGAGCTGAGCAGCACGTGCTATGTATAGAGGGGTGTGATTCCCTCCTAGGGGCTGGGGCCTGGAGGAGCGCTGAGGTCCATGCGACTTGTGAGCTTCCAGAACATGGATCTCGGGAGGGAATTTCACAAGCAAAGAACATATTTCTTCTCCCCTGACTCTGCTTTCTAGTTTTTCTCTCCCTCTGCTGTTGTTTAATTTGTGGTTCAACTTTTTGAAGAATGGTGGGAGGTACTGTGTTAAGCAATGCTGTAAGAATGAGGCTCAGCTGCTAGGACTGCATTTGGAAAATTGGCCTCTCACATCTTCCAAACCAACTGTGATTCCACTTAAAAGAAAAAGAAAGATACATGAAGGCGAGTAGGCGGGAAGTCTTATTCATCCTTATAAGTGCATCATCTATGTCCAGCACACAGTAGGCACAGAACAGATGCCACCAACTCAAGGAAACTGGTCATTTTAACCTAAATAGCTCTGTATTGTTTTGTTTCCATATAAGCCAAAAATTATATCAATGTTTTTTGGAGCAAATTTTTCTTGATCCTTGTGATCCCATTAGTGAAAATGATTAAATGATCAAATCTGATACAGTATTATCCTGATGAAGAGTGGCAGAGTTGAATATTACTAAGACTTGGTCAAGAGATTAGCAAGGAACTAAGAAAAGTCACTGGAAATACAGATTTAAAAAAGTATGGGGATATCAAAGTGCAAATGAGACAGTCAAGATAAAATAATTTCTACTTCTTTCTTCATGATTAAGCAAAGAGCCATATTATTACTGATATTAGTTATCCACACAATATTTTATCCAAGAGCTTTATAATACTTGCCATAGAGAAGAATAATAAGCAACTCTTAATTCTCTAAGTATAATATAATTTCAAAGGCAGAAATGATGCTTATAAAGGGTACTTAGAAAGCATGGTTGAAATTATATTTCAAAATGTATATTTTATGGAAATTTAGAAATATCTACAAGGCTTGGCTTATAAATTTGGAAACAATATTATATAAATGACATTAAGTGAATAAGCCTGGACCAAAAAAAAAGAAAGGTTTAAGAAGCGTAGCATTTTTTAAAAAATATATTTTAAAGAAAATAAAAAAAGCAGACAGTACAGTCTGAAAGGTAATATTAAATGCACAGATTCTAAGAAACTCTTCAGAAGCTCTGTTAACATTTCATCTCCCAGGAAGAGAAAGCAATTTGAGAAAGTGCTAGCCTTACCAGCTGCTGAGATTCAATAAGTGCATGGCAAAGAAGGAAATTCTTAGGTTTCACGGTGATCAGAAGGGAAAAGACTGGGCACAGTCATGAATATACCTTAAATTTTAGGAAGACATAGTTTAAACAATTTAGACAGAGAGATGGGGAAGTTTCTTTGACAAGAAGTTCAGAAAGGCCTGGAGCTGATTTACAAAAGTACAACTCTATGGATTAGGCCTTAATAAGAAAATGGATTTTATTTTAGGATACAGGCAATATTATAAATTAAAGGGTGAAGGACTGTACCGTCAGTCGTTATTTCCCAAATAGCTGAGTCTTCAGAAAAATGTTCGGCTATTTGGAAAATGATTTAGTTAGTGCCCCCCATCATGCCATTCCCCAAAGTATATCCCTGCAGCAGGACTAGAGTCCAAGTATAGAAAATAGAACCTTTACAGAAATAATGCCAGACAGAAATGCAGGTAAATAACAGATTTTAAAGACAGAAAATAGCAAGAAACCTGTCAATTCGAATTATGAACAATACTAGTGATTGTTAGGACTCGCTTTCAAAAACTGCTAATAAATTCTATCCCAGTTTGTGAACCTTAAGTCTTGAGTGATTAAATTAATAACCTGGCATTTACAAATTCTGGCTGGAATAATAAGGAACTTTAAAAATCAAGAACTTAGGACAGAGTCACTCTTTACTAAAATCTGACAAAATTAAGGAGAATTTACCTGCAGCAAATAACAGCTTTGCATGACAAAGCCAAGTCCAGGAAATACTGTCGCACTCCAAAAGTTAAGGCATACTTGAGGGTTTTCCCATCAATTATAAGAGCAAAATCATTCTCTTTCCTAAGAGCATCACCAAGGGTAGTGCAGTGACGACTAAGAGTTTCTCTTGTTCCCTGTGAAAAACAAAACAAACAAAAACAACTTCCATGTTTAATCTCATTTGTTCTACCTCAAAGATGTTTAGCAAACTACATTTATTATTAGTGCTTTTTATGTATCAAGTGGTTTTCATGTACCTCCCCTCATTTGATTCTCACAAAAGCCCCTCAAAGGAGATGGAACAAACATCATCAGGAAAAGTAAGTAACTTGCTTGAAGTCACACGTGTGTGCCCACAGAGCTGGGACTAGATTACAAATCACCCATTCCTTTGCAATCCTTGCCCGTTATTCGAAGCACACAATCACAATCCAGCAAAAATATTTCCAGTGAATTATCTTATTAAACAACAACATGACCCTAATTTACAAACTAGTCAAAATTGCTTAGCCATGATTCGAGGGGAAAAATTGGAGAATATAATTTAAATAACTTATGAGTATTCTTTCAGAAGTACTCAATGGTATTGAAACTTAATTCCCAGTAATCAAGAGGAGAAAATGCCATAGCTGTAATCTCTTGCCACTTTATGAATTGGCTTCTGTAATTTTAATCATGATTTCATGATGCTGTATTTTAGTTGGGGATGGTGACATGTAGTTTGGTAATCTTGATGGAGCAAATAAAAGGGCTCCCTCCATCAATGAAGAGTTCAAGTTCACACACAATAAAAACCTTCAGTGCTGAAGAAAGCTTTGTTCACCTCGACTATACAGGGAAGTTGTATTTTGTCTGTCAAGAACTGCTTTCCCAGCTCTTCAAAAGGCAATAAGTTTCAGAATATTTAGTTTTTCTCCCCAAATCCTGTAGACTCTTCCTATAACCCAGCAGACCCAGTTTTTTGTTTTACAAGAGCCCTAACATGATGAAAATGAACACTGCCTCTGCACAAGTAAATATAAAGAATCATTTCCCTCCCGTTAGAGTTTTGTTCTGAGTGTTTATATCTGAGTCTGCAGTTATTTATATAATAAATACAAATACATATTTATATAATAAAATATACTTACAATGAAAATGCTCATAATTTTTACTATAGTCATGAGAGATATAATTATTGTTCCAATTTAAGAATGTGGTACAGTCATTTCAAAGTTATTTTCACAAAGAGGGAAGCAAAGGCATAGGTAATTAAAATTTTATATTGGGATTTTTTTAAGGTGTTTCTGCAATTATATTCAAATGGGGTTCCCACTTTGTTCTGGAATCTGTTTATCAAAATAATAAAACCATACTGTACTGTAAAGTAAGGTTGCCCAATTTTCCTAGTACTGGAACTTAACACCCCCTCTGTTCCCTGTTATACTCTGACACCAAGGACCACCATATAGCAGCATTCTTGCAAAATTTTCTGTTTGCACTTTACATAGTGGGGAAGTAGCTGTGTTAATTTACAGGCCTCGCCCTCTTATTTCCTGCTAGAAGTTTTGGGCCAAGAGGATTTAAGAAAATGAGGTAAAAAATGTCGGTAAAATAATGCAAGCAAAATTTACCAATGACAATATAGTAGATTACCCTGGGTTGTTTTAAAACTCTATGTCTTCACGTAGATTAACTGAAGGAACAAGTAAATCAATGAACTGGTTAAAAATAAAAATGAAACAAAACAATATTTAGTATGTAACATTCACTAGGCATAGTTCAGATACAACATTCAGTTAAACTTATTACAACCTATGTAGGAGGCACCACTGTTACCCCATTCTGCAGATGAGAAACATGAGACTTAGAGTTTAACTTCTTTGCCCACAAACACATGGCTACTAAGCAGTGAAACGAAATTGAGAATTAAATTTCTGTGCTAGCTTGTCTTTCTCTACACAATCCAGCAAAAACAAACCTAACTTCAGACAGTACTAGGCCTAGCAAATTATAAATGGAATGCCTACACATTCCCTCCGTTGTTTCCCTAGAGCTCTCATCATCTGTCTCTCATCTCATCATTACCGCCAACAGAGATTTCTCTTTATAAAAACAAACTTAACACAAATCATGTCTCTTCTTGCTCAAAATTTTTCTATGGCTTCCTACTATCTACGCAATATATTCCAAACTCCTTAAAATGGCCTTTAAGGCTTTCCACGATCTAAGTCCGACAAAATTTTCCCTTCACAACCACCTTCTAAACCAAGTGTACCCCTCCAAGCCCTCCCAGACTCATGCCATGCTGCCAGGTGTAACTCATTCCATGCTAGCACGGCCTTCGGGTCCTTGACGAGAGAGATCTGTTTCCCAGCAACAAACATAGTGCCTGCAATTACAAATGCTGGGGAAATACAAATTTATTGAATGAGAGCACTGATAAATTCTGATTTCATTCTATTGGCAGCAGTCCATTTCCCCCTCTATTATCACTTCTGATTTGAGAGGGGGAGAGGGAAGAGAGAGGGAGGGAAGGAAGGAAGAAGGGAAGGGGGACAGAGAGAGGACAGAGGTAGTCTCTTGCTTGCTCCTTAATTTTCTAGAGAATAACCCATTACTTCAACAAACCAAAGCATTACTCACTAAAATGCCAGTGTATTTTTTTAAGCTTTTGCTCAAGGGTCTCCTGAGCTGAAAACCCAAATGAGACCTAAGCTGGGCCTCAGGAGAACTTAAAATTTCTTTAAAGATCATCTTCAGAGTAAGACTGAAAGTCAACTCCTGAACTGTGCGAGCTCTCTCATTATTCCACCTGGGGGACGTGGCCCTGTGTGCCCCACTCTCCCTCCTTTCGAAAGTGTTCTCCAACACCTTAACGTCTGTTGAGAACTCTCTTATTTGTGGCATCAGTACCCCTGGGTTTCCTTGGTGATTATCACAGATCTTCAGCAAATCTAAAAGTGTCAGGAGATGTAACAGAGATGACATTTCAAAAGGTGAGTCAAAAACTTCCCATAGTGAGTTCCCCAGCCAGCCCACCTAGGGTGCAAGGTAACAGTGAAAAACTACAAACATTTTCTTATTTTAGTTCACAGTTTTCTTTTGTAAGTAGCTCTGGTGTTGGCTGTATGCTGCCAGTTACAAGTTATATTTTACAGTTATTTATACTGCCAGGAGTATTTTAAAATTCTTTTATTTATTGAAAGTTTATTGTTTCTCCCTTCAGCTGAGAGCCATACTTTATGGCCATAGTGCACTGAAGCTTATCTCCTGTAGCTAGAAATAAATTTATTACTATATTAGCTGTTGCTTTGTTTTCTTTTTGCTACTGAAGGGGGAAATGTTTAACTGTTTAAAATTAGTGACATGTGAAAGTGAAAATATATAAATGAGAAGCTAAATCAGAAAAAGAATAAAAGACCACATAGTATAACAAAATAAAAACTCTGTATCTCCTTGTTCTACAGTCTTTATGGGCCAAAAGAAAAGAAGCATCTGCTGCTATAATCAGGGAGAGTCAGAAGTAAAGACAATTTGGGAAGACAGGCAAGGGGCAAGGTCAGGGTTCAGGAACCTTACCAGGCGGAGATCCAAGTAAGGGAAGGAGCCACAGGGAAAGTGGAATTTGCTTGCACCTCCCATAACCTGCATCACACATGAACACTCCAGTCAACTCTATTCTCTCTACCCACAGCCCTGCACACAGCCAAGTGCTCAGGTCCTCAGCCCCTGGACCTCCTACCATGCTCTCCTTCCTTGCCAATTCACAGCTGAGGCCACAAGCAACATTCTCTTCTGTTCTTAGAGCTGAAAACACAGAAGGGAAAAAATCACCTCACCACGAGGACAGGCTCTACTCTAGCTCTCTTCTCTTCTATCGGTGCTCATTACTGCTGATCTTGAGTTTTATTCATGGCTAGTGGATTCCATTTTTCCCAGAGACTACTCCAGACCTTTTCCTCTCAAGAGTCCAGATTTGGTCCCTGTCACATCAGCAAATATCTACATGCTTTACTGAGAACATCTATATCAGAAAGAATTCCTTCGACTTTCCTCTCTTAACCTAAAAATTTCCCTTTATTTAATCCTCCCTAATTCTTGAGCCAGGAAGAAGAACTGTGTTCTTTTCTCACTTGTTTCTCCCACTTCTCTCTGGCATTGTCATGTCTCCATTGCCATTATTTTTTTTTTTCCTTCAAGATTACATACTAAAATACTGAGTAAATAAAACAATAAATGTTCCCTTGACCTGAATTTTCCTGACTTCTCCAGGTAAATACTTCCAACTTTTAGATTCTTCAAATACTCTGTTTATACTTATATACTATAGCATGAGATACAAAATAACATCTCTATTTTTCTTTCAAGGCTGAGGCCTTGATGAAGAGATGAAGTAAAATGAAAAAGCATGGAAGGAAAGAATAACTAAATCGTTAATGATTGGAGAATACCTTGTGAGAAGTTACAATGGTTTTCTCATGTGACCATTTTGAGGACATTTTCTGCTGCCTATAAAATTACATAATCTTGGATACTTTTAATTAAAATAATAGTAAAATGTTAATATGCTTATCTTATTATAGAAAAAATGGAGAACAAAGTGGAAGTTAGTATCCAATGTCTACTTCTATCTCAAATAATATAAATTGTTTAATAAATATAATAGAATGAACACCCAGACTGGCTACTTAGTGATCAAACTAGGTTGTATAAAAGTAGGCCAATTAGAAATAAACAATATTTATTTGGTTTAAAAGACATACGCTTGGAAAAGAAAAATAAAGAAAGATGCTTGTTAGATAATTAGGCCACGTAGAACTGCTTACACAGATAGCTTGGACCAGAAGACCTTAATAAAGTTCCATTAGAACACAGCCATCTTTAGGACATAGCCAGGCAAAACACACAACATGTTCATAAGATGACAATTGTAAAGAAATCACAGACTGGAAACTTTACGGTGATATTTTGCGTTACTTTTACATGACCTTTACCAAAAAGAACCCCTTGATAAAAATCACAGAAGGCACTTCAGACAATGAAATCTGATGCAGTTTTATAGTGAGATAAACCAAAAGTCCTGAGTTGTTTGGAAAGTATCACAGCATGCAAGATGTCATTTTCACTTTGGCAAAAAGTCTGCTTGGAAGTC